ATTCCCGAAAATAAACTTTTATTTGGATGTCTTCACGTTTTAATACTTTTTACAAATTCAGAAAAAAAACTTGAGTAGAAATGCTAAAATGGCAACAAAATATTACGTATCGAAGAAGTCAGAAGTTAAGCAAATCAATTTATAAAAGTAGAGTCCTTTTCCTCTTCCCCAGTCGATAATCTAGGACAACCGAAATGGTGTCATGTTATAAGAGCGTCTGCCCCAAGGGGGCCCCAATGAATAATTTTTGAAATTTGATTTTGCTCGTGGCGTCTGGTCGTCTAACTCGTATCCCGTGTTGAATTTCGATATTGTCGATATTGGATTTCAAGATTTCAACACACGACTGGGACACAGACACACAAACTCAGACACTGAACTTATTGAAATTGAATAAAAATGTTTATTTTGGAAACTTGGACTGGGAAACAAATTTTGGATCTTCACCTCCAAGGGAAATGAATATCACTACTGCTTGATACCAGATGTTAAAAGTGTTTCAACTTTATTATTATTCTATTATCGATTGTCTATTAATCTGTCGATTTTTGCAGGTTTGCACGTCGATGTCCGAGAGTGTCACGTTTCTTGTAACGATAAATAAGTAGTCGACGACGTGTTTAGTCGTAAGAATCGTATTATCATCATCATCGATTGTAATTCAACACTCAAATACTAAATACTAAATAAATGATACATAAATGTACATCATCGATTGTGATTAATTTAAAACAAATATTAAAATAATGAGCAACAAATCGTCGGCGTTATCTTGAAACCGAGACGACCAATGTTTAGAAATAGGAAGTGTATTAAATGATATTAATTATAATTTTTAATTATGTATGATAGTATATATTGATCAATATGATTTAAGTCTCAACTTGAAAAAAATGTTAAGGAAAAAAATTTTGCTTTGTTTTGTTTTATTTTATTATACTCCCTCTTGAAAAATAACCAACCCTAGAAATCTTATCTTAGGGAAATTGGTAGCAGGATAGTGAATCCTGAAAACACGACCTTTTTCCGTCATCCGCAACCTAGGTTCTTCTAAAACTCGTTCCATTAAAAATTAATCAAATCCTACTAAGATTTTAAATTTAAATTAAACTTTTAATTTTAAATTTTATTAATAAAGGTCTAAGGGGGCGTCCATTAATCACGTGAGGCTTCAAGGGAAAGGAAGGGTTTGTCAAAAAATTACGAAACATCACGCGGGGGAGGGGGTCCAGTCAAACATTATATTTGTATTTTACCTAAATTTAAAAAAAATCGAAATTTTCAAAAAAATTCAGAAATTTTAAGATTTTTTTAGATACTAAAATACACATAAGTTGGATAGGGGAGAGAGGGTTAATTTTAAATATCTTATAAATCACGTGATTAATAAAAGTGCAAGAATTCCAAATATGTGTAAATAATAACATTATTTAATAATGTACTTAAGTAAACACTTCAGCCAATGAAATGAATTACGAAAAAAAGGCCTGATTGAGTTTTATCAAAAGGCATTTAGATTTTTGAAATCGGTGTAGCACTTTTCGAAAAAAACATCGACGAAATGTCTAGATTTTAGCTCAATCACAATATTCTTTTCAATTTTGGCGTCAAACGATTCAGAATGACTTAAAATATCGAGAAAACATAAGATTAGCATTAGATTTTCTGGCAAAAACATAAACTTCTCCTTCGGGATGTTCAAAATTATTTATTCAAGAATATTGTATATAAGGGGACGTCGATTAATCACGTGATCAATTTTTAAGAATTTTTGTACCCGCAAAAAATCGTAAATTTTTTGAATTTTTTTATTTAAAAAATTTTGGATTTTTGTTATATTCAGGTAAAAAATAAATACACACAATACCTCAGTAGACTTGCCCTCCCCCAAAAGTGATATTTTGAGATTTATTTTTAAACCCTTTCCTACCCCCCCACGTGGTAAATTAATTATAATCGTACATTTTTAAATCTTTATTTTTTAAAATCCCTAAATTTTCCTGATATACCAATTAAAAAATAGAGTATGTAATATGTATATTTATTGAGATCTGAAATAATTTCAGGAAAACCAATTTTGATGATTCAAAAATCTTTGATTCATATTGAATATAGAAAATTCACTCAGGTTGAAATTGGAGTGAAAAAATATAAAAAATATGTTCATTTTCAAGACTAGAAAAGAGCAACATCTGACAAATTTGGAATTAACTTTTCTAAATAAAGTTATAGAAAAAAACAGGATAAGACTCATATTGGTGAATCAACTATTGATAATAAATTAGAAGCAAATAAATCCCTAGAAAAAAAAATACAGGGAATTAAAAGCAGAGGCACAGGACACAGAAACATGAAAAACAAAATTTAAAAAGTGATTTGAGGGAAATATTGTTATGAAAGAAATTGTAGTCGAAAATAGGTGTTAAATGTACAAAATTTATTGTTAGTGGTTCAAAATTCATTTTTTTATGTTATATTATAAGTTATATATATGACCAAAATCTAAACACGCTTGAATTAAATGTGTTAAATTAAAAATGTAATTCTTTTTCAAAAATAATTATTAATCAAGTATTTTGTTCATTTATGTCTTTCAAATAATGTATGAGCTTTATCCACGAAAAAAGAGTACTTAAAACGTAGTACTAGTAAACTCAAAGTAGTACTTAAAACGTATGAAAGCTCTGCTAATTTGTATTAAAGCTTTTCAGTCTTTATTTGATACACATATGATTTTTTTTTCTAAAATTATTACCCGGATTCCTCATCCTTACATTTTATTTCGCCAGTATCTTTTAGTAAAAATATATTCCTTTAACATCCAGATATAATAAAAAACTTCTCTTCTATTAAGGTTATAAGGATATAGGTTTCAATATTTGCTTCCTCAGAAATCTAAAAAAAATATAAAGCAGTAAGAATTTTTCGTATTATAAAATTATCCAGATTCCTTATCCTTATATGTTATTTTACAAATTTTTTCTAGAAAAATATATTCCTTTAACATCCAAATAAGCTTCTCTTCTTTTAAATAATAAGCTTCTCTTCTATTAAATAGTTGTTATAGATTGCAGAAATTGCTTCCTCAGAAATCTAACAAAAATCTTCATATATTTTTTTACAGTGAGAATTTTTTATAATATTATCAAGAATAAATGTTTCTTCATATAGAAATATAATTTTTGAATACATATATACATGAGTAGATTTTGTCATGGTAAGATTAGTAGAAAGTGGATAATAAAATTTTATATAGCTCTTGCATAGGAATTGTCTTTAAATATCTTTTGAACTTATTTGTATATATGTATATAATGATAATATCACATATATATATATATATATATATATATCGATATATATATATAGAAGAAACGAGCAACAGTAGTATTACATTAAAAGTGTTCCTTCGACATTTCTTCCCATTCAGTTTTCGATTCGAACTCGAACCGTTTGCACGCACTTTTTTATTGGTGACAAATTTAGAAATTGTTTATAATTTAAATAAATAAATACATAAACAAATAAATAAATAAATGACAAACCCAAAATAAAGGATGTAGTAGTTTAAAGTGATTTTCGAAGGACACCTTCAAAAGCCAAAATCTCAAATGTTCCAATTTATAAATATTAATATTTGTATGTTATAAAAAAATTAAAGTTGGTGATTTGGTACTCAGAAATTAAAATAAACTATTTAGATGTATAAATAAATAATATAATTTTTAATAATATCAAACATTATTATTTTTAATGAATATTGGTTCTGGAGGATTTGTATGGGAATTCTTTCAAAGAATTTGTAAGTGTTGCAAGATTTAATATTGTTCAGTGAATTTGTTGTTATAAATAAATAAATAATTTATGATAATATTTGTTTATTGGTGATTTTACTAATGTGTATAATTAAAACATAGTTTATTAAAATAAATAAATGATGAATTTAAAAAACTCTGTTGGTGAAGTGATTTTGGTAAAACAAAAGCTTATGTGACTCAAGTGTTAATAGATTTCTTTAAATATTTATATTTTATATTATTTATATTAAATAATTAAATTTTTGACATTCATATTAAATAAATAAATTTAAACATTAAATCAACTATTATTTTATAACATTTAAATTAGTAAAAAAACGAAGAAAGACCCAAATAGCAAAAGTTGAAGTTTTTTTTTATTAATAATTTCGAACTAATTTTGAAATAACTAATAAAATAAACAAGTGGCTGAAAAGTAATAAAATTGTGTGCATAAATAATTTATTAGTGATTTAAATATGACTATTACTAAACTTGCTGATTATTTTGTATTTATTATTTAATAAATAAATAATAAACTAAAACCAAATCATAAATTTTAATAAAATATTTATTTATTTATTTGTGAGAAAATAATTGAAATTGTAAAATATGAAATTCTATAAATTTAAATTGTTTATTAATAAATAAATAAATAGTTTAGCTAACAAAAAATCTGAAGAATTTATAAAATTAAAAATATATTAAAATGGACAACTTTAAAAAAAATGACAAAAATTGTGCATTTAATTTATCATACTAATTATTAAGTAAAAGCATTTATTTATTTATATTAAAAATAAATTTATGGATATTATTTATATAAGCATAGTCTATATCATATTATTTACTATATTCAGATAAATTGTGTTTAAATTAATTATTATATAATCATATAATTTGACAAAAAATTATAAAAACTACGAAAAAATCACTAATTTTTTAAATATAACAATCATTATCAAATTAATTTTATGAAGAATTACAATTATTTAAAAAAAAGTCAGATTTTAAAAATTCTATCAAAATGTAATAATTAATATAATAATTAACTAAAATATATTTGTGAATGTAAATTATCTATAAAAGTGTCTTATTTTTTAATTAATGGATTTTGATAAATTATTTTTAAAAATGATCATCAAATATTGATATTAATAATTTTATAAGAATTTCAATCAAAAAGTCAGAAATCTATATATATATAAATATTGATAATTTATATATTAGTGAATTCATTAATTACTAATGTGTGTAGTTTGTTAAATGTTTAATAAAATTAACAAAAATTTGTCTCCTACGTCAATGAGAGTAAATAAAAATGTTTACTCAATTTTATATTAATTCAGGTTTAAAATTTAAAACAAACAAAAAATATTAACAATTTAAATATTAGTGAATAAATTAATTAGATGTGTTCCAATTTTAAAAAAATTAACAAAAATGTCTTTAGAAATTAATTTCTATTAAAAAAAAATGTGTTGAGGAAACAAAATTATATGCAAACGATTTATATGAAAACAATTTAAATTTATATTTATTATAAAACATTAATAAAAAAATATCAAATAATTGTTTAAAATCAATTACGTTTGTCTATTTTAAAATAAATGTGTGTAAAATTTTAAAATAAATTTATATATGTTATTATAAACAATTAATAAATTAGTGTATAAAACTTATAATTTTTATATTTGTTTATAACATTTTTATTATTTCGAACTTTATATAGGTAAGAAATGGGATTGAAAATGATTTTAAAAATTATAAAAATGTGAAAAAACTTGATTTGAAATTACTTGTTCTAGTATGTGACTCAATTAAAAAAAACTGCCCAGAAAAAAGGTAAAAGGAAAAAAGTACTGAACCTTTATAAATAAAGTAAACGAATTGAAAAAAATATAAATTATTCAGTTTTAATATTAAAACTATATATAAAATTTAAAAAATTTAAATATATATTTTAAAAATAAATGTGGACATTTATGTTACAAGGAAATTCAATAATTTATTTAATTTACTTAAAATAAATACTTAAACAAGACTTTTTGATTAATGGATTAAATAAATAATTTACAAAAACAATAGTAACAAAAATGTGACCATAAGATTTATATATAAAAACAATTTATAATAATAGTGTGAAACTATTAAAATTTTATCAATGCAACTTTTAGTTTTAAAACTCGTGTATAAATATCAAAATATATAAACAATGTTTAAAATTAAATAATCAATAAAATATTAAATTTTTTATCTTTTATCCTTTACAATGGTGTTATTACTTTTTCCAATTGTGTTCATACTATTTCTAAGTGTGTACGTTTTATTAAAAAGTGTTAAATTAATAAAAAAAGATAAAAATGATGAAAGTGTCCCGAAAGGATCAAAGGATATCCCAGGACCTCTGCACCTGCCTTTGTTCGGAACGAAATGGATTTATTTGTGGAAATACGATTTGTCTAAAATGCACGAAGCTTACGAAGGTAAAAAATAAAAATTGAAAAAATTCAGCCCACTGTACTGTCGATAGTATGGTAGAATAAAATCATCGTTCTGAAAATTTGATTGAACTTTAAAAATTTTTAATTGGCAGAAAAAACTCGTCATTTTGAATATAATTTTTTAATATTTTTAATTTAAAATTTAATTTAAATTTTAATTATTTTCAATTTAAACTTTAATTTTTAAATATTTTTAGTATAAATATTTTTTTTAATAATGTACATTTGTACGGAACCCTATAAGTACTAGTTAAAAAAAGTCAATATTAATTTTTAAATTTTTAATTTCAAGAAGAAAATAAACAATCTAATGAGAATCCTATAAGAATTTTATCTAGGGAATCTTATAAGAATTTTGAAAATTCTCATTAATTGGTACCGAACCCAAAAATTAGTAAATGTAATGCAAACAATTTATTTGTTATTATTTTTTTATTATGAATTATTATTTTTATTTCACTAATTTATTGTTTATTAAATATATTATTCATATAATTTATGTCTTAGAATATTTAGCGATTATAATAATTAGTAAAAATATGTAGAGCCTAATTAACCATTTTGATTGATTTTTGGCATATCTGAGGAAAACTAAAAGGGGAGTAATGTGGCAACACGAAGTGACTATAAGTTCGGAGATGGCTTTGAAAAAAGAAAACAAAATAATATTTTAAAAAAAAATTTTGAATGAATAATTATAAATTTGAAATATTACATAATTATTAAATAATTAGTGAATTATTAAAATTTAGAGATAAGATCTGTCCTCAGTGTACGAGTAAAATCCGCCTTTATTTACATTTTTTCTTGTTAGTGTCATCCTCTGATATAATTTACCATTGGTCATTTCCGCAGAAAACCTGATTGGTTGTTTGCAACAAAAAAAAACAAAAAAATAATCGCACGTTGGAAGGTACTTGGGCACAGAAATATATTGAATTCCTTACTGAGAGTAAGTTATTAAAGTCACAAAAAAACGATTTTTTTTTATTTTAGGACTTAATGAACTTTTAACTAAAAATAGAAAATAAATATCTTTTCATTTTCGCACCTCCTGATCATTTTTAAAAGAAATTTAGAATCATCTACTTATCTTTTCATTTAAGAATTTCTTGATTATTCCAAAATAAAAATATTTTCCGTTTAGGACTTTCTAATTTTGGGAAAAATAGAAAATGAAAATTTTGTTTCAGGACCTTCTGATGATTTTGGAAAAAAATTGAAAATAAAAATATTTTCATTTCAAGATCTCTGGATCATTTTAAAATAGAAATATCTGATTTTATCTATATTTTTTATCAGCTTATCACTGTGAATATAATAATGTAAATCTTTTAATTAAGATTAACCTGAATTTTATTAAAAATTTAGTATTAACTCATTAAGAAACCGTGACTAGTAATCAATTTTTTAAGGATTTCACTAATTTCCAAAATGAAATAATTATCAAACGATTTGCAACATTTTCAGACAATTTTAGACTATTTTTATACCGTTTACAATATTTTAAGACAATTAGCAATATTTTCAGTCAATTAACAACATTTTTAGACTATTTGCAACATTTCAACCAATTTATAACAAATTCAGACAATTTACAGCATTTCACTACAATTAGCAATATTTTCAGACAACTTACTATATTTTCAGTCAATTAACAACATTTTCAGACTATTTACAACATTTCAAGCAATTTATAACAATTTCAAACAATTTACAACGTTTCAAGACAATTAGCAATATTTTCAGACAACCTACTATATTTTCAGATAATTAACAACATTTTTAGACTATTTGCAAAATTTTAAGCAATTTATAACTTTTTCAGACAATTAACAACGTTTTCAGACAACCTACTATATTTTCCTTTCCAGACAAATTGCAACATTTTCAGGCAACTTACATATTTTCAGAAAATTAACAAAATTTTCAGACATTTTGCAACATTTTCAGAAAATCTACAACATTTTAGACAACTTACAACATTTTCAGAAAATCTACAAAATTTTATATCTTAATATAATATTCCGAATCCTCTATTTTCATTTACCAATGCGGCCCTGCCCGTATGTCATTTATTCCGAAACGACAAACGACAAAAGCAAAAGGATAAAAAACGTGGAAAAAGGATAAAAAGGAGCGTCGGTAACAAGAAGAGAGGAGAGAACAAGATAAACAGGATATTATTAATGGACGTAATAAAAAATAAGACGAATAAAAAGAATGGAAATAAAAAAGGACGTGCGTGTGTTTACAGATTATGTAATTTAAATGGACAACGGGGTCCTGCTGTTCGACGGGGACAGGAAGAAGGACATTGACGTAGGGAACAATGTAAAGGACATATTTTGAATCGAAATGACGAAAATTAAGGAAATTATTAATGACATATATCAAATGTCGAAACGTACTTGATTATATTATATAATTATAATTACAGATATAATAATTATATATTGTTATTTTCTTTTACTCCGGTGAATTTAAATTATATAGAAAAAATGTCCTTCCTTTGTGTAGTGTTTCATTAATTTTTTTCTATTTTTAGATATGCACCAGAAATTCGGTCCCATAATCCTCGATTCCCGAGCCCCTCCGGTACCAGTGGTGTCCCTAACTGGGTCCCACCCCCGCGACTTGCTAAGGGTGCTCCGGTACCCGTCACGATTTCCCACTAGGCCTCCGACGGAAATAGTCGCCAAATACAGGAGAAGTAGGCCTGACAGATATGCCAGTTCGGGGATAGTTAACGAGTAAGTAGAAAAAATAGAGATAAAATATTTATGAGTAGACCTAGTTGTTACAAGTTGTAAATTAGATTCTAAAAAACTAAAAAATGCATTAACAAATTAGAATTCTTAATAATTTAACTCAGAGCGATAAAGTCGATATACTGGATGTCGTCTATATGCGACATTCGTACGAACGAGTAAGTAGAAATAATATTTTTTAGTAGACCGAGTTGTTAAAAGTTATAAATTACACTCTAAAAAACTAAAAAACACATTAACAAATTAGAATTCTCAATAATTTAACTGATAGTGATAAAACTTGAAGCAAAAGTCGATATTCGTACAAACAGGTCGTTAAGTGCATGTCGTCCATAGACGACGCTCGTAGCAAAACGGTTTTAATAGTTAATAAATTTCTCGAATATTTCATTTATATTAATCGAATAATGTAAAATTATGTATTTTTCTAAAGAAATTCATATTTTTAACTTCCCGTAAGGTAGTAGTTATAGTAATGGGCCAAAAATCGAAAATGAAAATTTTTGCATTCCTCGACGTTTTGAAGGTTTCTGAACATTTTAAGGCATACCTCAGAAAAAAATTATATGTGTGTGTGTTTTGTATTTTTTCGTCCACGTTTTCGGGCGCACGGATCAACCGATTTGAATGGTTTAAAAAACATTCAATTCCTATTACTAGGTAGAGATGTGCTGATTAGTTTTTGGCAAAGGCAGGTTCAGCCGTTACGGAGATACGGAGCAAAGAGTGCAGAAAATACAAATCGAGTTTTTGAGAGAACGGAGTATCGGATTTGAATGATCCGTTGTAATGATTAGGAGAAGAGGTGATTAATTTTTAGCAAAGGCAGGTCCAGCCATTTCGAAGATACAGAGCTAAATGTGCAAAAAATGGCAGTTCTTTTTCAATTTTGTGTAAATTAGACAACTTAGCTATTTTTTTTTTTGATATTGAATTCGAAATGCAATGACGATTGTTAATGTTCTGGAGATAAATTGATTTATGATTTACATTTGATTTGCTCAGATATAACAAGATAATGCAAAAATAATGAAAGTTACAGTATTTGTAATAATATATTTGAAAACGTTTAAAATTTCTCGAATATTTCGTTACAGTACGGGAAGTTCCAGCAATTTGCCTTAAGGCACGATGCCATACACCACTAGTTTAATTTTACATTAGTGAAATATTTTATTTATAATTCAAAAATGAATGTACGAGTACAAATTTATCGAAAGAGTAATAACGCAATCACAATGCTATCTTACAATAACACTTACGTATTAAAATTATTTTCATCGTAACATTTATTTATTTAGTGTTATTATTGTATATTATTTGTAACGATTAATTTGTTGCAACAAAGTTGCCATCGGACGAAAACAAAGACATTAAATTTATACGCGTCGGAATATAATAAATCGATAGGAGAAAGAAATATCCGGGAGAGAAATAAAAAATCACCAAGGAAATAGATACAAAATTCCATTTATGAAATATATTTCATTTTTTTTTTTAATTTTAGGCAGGGTCCCTCCTGGCACAAATTAAGGACGAGCCTGACGCCAGAGTTGACGAGCCCCAGGACGATTTCGGGGTTCCTTCCGACTCTCAACGATATTTGTCGAGACTTTGTCAGCCTTTTGAGGCTGGTACGGAACCCTGACACCGGAGTCGTGGAAGGATTTGAGACTTATGCAGATAGACTAGGATTAGAAGGTAGTTGACAAAATTCTAAATAAAATGTACAATGAAATATCCTTAATTTTTTCTCCAGCTTCCTGCGCCCTGATGCTAGGTCGCCGAATGGGTTTCCTAGAAACAAAATTGTCCCTACAAGCCGAACTCTTATCAAAATCAGTCCGAGATGCTTTCGTGGCCCAAAGAGACTCCTATTTTGGTGCCAGAGGTGGTAAAGTAGGCTTCCTCAGAAAATGTTTGTTTGGAACCGGCGAAGCAAACCAAAGAGACGCCTATCAGAGACTCCAACGAAGCGAAGAGATCATTTACAAGTAAGCTCTGGTAAATGATTACATAAATATTGTATTGACAACTGTATACTGTTCCTTGTTAACAGTATAGTTTCCCAAATGGTAGACGAAGCCTTGGATTTAAGGACCAAACCAAACGACAGCTACAAACCGAGAGCAACTAATGCAGTCTTCGAATCAATACTTGCAAACCAGGATTTAGATCTTCGAGATAAAAAATCTGCTATCATAGATTTTATATCAGCAGGGATCGAAACAGTAAGATAATAATATATACTATATACCCAAATTACACTCAACCTTAATAATCTTTTTCTAGTTAGCGAATACCTTAACCTTTGTCCTGTATAACTTATCGAGACACAAAACCTGCCAAATTAAAGTCTTGGAAGAAATTAACAATATAAAGAATGACAGGTTTGATTCAAGCGAAGAACTTTCATCAAAAGACTTATCGTCAATGAGTTACACAAAAGCCTGCATCACAGAAACATATAGGTAATAATAATTATTGTTGTATATGATAAAGTATTCAATAATATTTTCTGCCTTTATTTGCAGGTTGACTCCAACAGCATTTTGTTTAGCTCGTGTTTTAGAAACTGATATGAATATTTGTGGCTACACTTTACCCACAGGGGTAAGTATAACTTATAATTGATCTATTGATTTGACAAAAATGTAATGTTTATTTTTTTCAGACTGTTGTTCTTTGCCAAACAATGTTGGCATGTCGAGACGAAAAAAACTTCATCAATGCCAAAAAATTTGTTCCAGAACGATGGTTAGATTTATATAACAAATCTATTGAATCAGTATTATCAACCAAGTCTTTATCAACAAACAGTGGTATCGAAAACCAAATCAAAGAACTTATCGATAAAATAAATAAAGTAAACACACACATACCTGATACAAATCCTGATTTACTCGATAACGATGGTTCTGAATTGAGTGAAACTGGTTATGGTACAGGCAATGATGATACATCTGACATCAGCGAACCTGAAAATGATGACATAATAGATACATCAATTGGAACTCATTTAAATGTGATAAATAATACTCAAAACAAAAGTGATATTTTGCAAGATGATAGAATAGGTTTAAATGAACCATTACCGATTAATGTTAGTGAAGACAGTACTGTAGATGCACAAGAGGACATTGAGAGAAGAAAGTTAGCTAGGAGTCTTGTAGTGCCTTTTGGTGTTGGCCGAAGGATGTGTCCAGGAAAACGATTTGTAGATCAGGAATTACTGACTGTAGTTGCTACGGTAAATATTGAGAATGATAAAAATAATAGTTTAGATATAGTTAAATATATTATAAGATTTACGTACGTTTGTTTACTTCTCCAGTTAAGTCGCCATTTTTTAAACTGTCACTTTGCGCAAACGATGTTACCCGCATTGTAATTTTTTGAACTTGTTATTAAAATCAGTAAATAATATTTTCAAATTTATCTAATTGTACATAATTTGTTTACGTATTTAATACAATACTGATAATTAATTGTTTTTATTAACTGTAAATCTTATTTAATTATTATTTAAATATTTATATTTCACACCTGCGTGCAACTTCACAGTGGTTCAAACCTGTCATAATTTTAAATTATATACGTTTTAATTTCAAATATAAAAAATATTTAATTATCACTATAATAAGATAAAAAATGTGCCGAACTCAATAAATTCCAATATACTACTAATAAATATATATTGTTTGATGTAACTATCTTTTAGTTTAGTTAAGATAACCACTGAGTGCAAATCATAACATGTTAACTTTTCATTTAACAAAATGTCATTATCACGATTAGTATTTGAAATTATTTTATAATTCTATTGAATATTTATTTTTCTAGTTGGTCAGTTCCTTCGAGATAGAATTTGAAGAAGACCTCGATATGAAATTTGAGTTTTTGTTAGGACCACAAGCACCCGTCAACATTACATTAAGAGATAGACAAGAATAAATATACACAGTGGAAGAAAACAGAGTATTAATATATTTGTTAGATTTTTATTATATATTTATAGTAATATATATATATATATATATATATATATATAATATTTAAACTTCTATTTAAATTGACTAGATATTACATGACTAAATTTTTAATACTAGAGATTTTAATAGTATTAATATTTATATTTTATATTGAATAAAAATTTTATATTAAAATAAAATTGTAATCTATGATTAAAGCGTTTCTATCTATCTGTTTATATATATAGGGAATATATTATGTATTTGTTTAAAATATCATTAAAATCTAAAAAGCCACTTTTAATACTGTTTAATTAAAATCTTAAGTCGTTCTCGTTTGGCGTTTCTGAAACAAAAATAGAGAACAAGATAAGAATTATTAATATTAATTTATGATTTGAAAATTAAATCAAAGTTTTGAATTTTAGATATGCAAAGTACACGAATTTTATAATATTAGTTTAAATTTAGATTGACTAAATTTAGTGATGATCCCCATCACTAAAAACACTTTCTCATTATTAAACAATTTGTACTTTAATATTTTTATAATTTAAAGAAATGTTTAAGATATAACGTAACCAAATTACAACCTTCTATAATAAATAAGTAAAAAGTTATAATTATTTGAAAATACTTTTATGTTTACATTGTTAAAAACGCTTGGGGATAGTATATGCCAAACCGTAGGCTTATAATCATTGTTTTTGTTACTAACATATGCTTCTTAATATTTTTATTATTTAAAAGAATGTTTTAGGTTTAACATATCTCAATTACAACCTTTTAGATCAAGGGCATTATAAAATATGATTTTACGTACAAATTTCTAATTATAAAATTCTTCAAGTATAAAAAATGATCTTACCGTTGTGGGCCTGGGTACTCCAGAAACTCTATGCTTGCTCGATTGTGATCTTGCCTGAGAACTCGACTTCACCCTGACAGGATCTGTCAACGATTGAGTGTTGTAGGAAAGATAAACGTGGGACAGATCCATTGGTTCAGGCTGATGAAAAGCAAAACATTATAAATAAACCATAACTACTTATATTGAAGTTTGAAAGTTCATTTAAACTGACCTCTTTATTGTGTGTTGTCGTTTTATTAATTAATTGCTTATTCATATTGTTTCCTGTAAATGCAACACCTCTCAATTGCCATTCACCGATGTCTTCATTATAGTGGGAATAGTTTTCAATTATTTTCTGTAGAAGTAAATAAAAATTGTGTAATAATAAAAAATTAAACTTAAATTATTCTATTATTATACCTGATATTCTTTTGGTATATAAGAATCCAATATCAAATCAGTCAATTGCAATTCCCTGGTGAGACTTCTGACATTATCCAACATTCCTTCCATTTCCCGCTGGTTTTCCTGCTGTAGATCTGCAATATCCGTCCTGGACACCTGGTACGTTTTTATTAGTCTTTCTAAACGTCTCGTCTTAACAGCAGATTCTTCTTGGAGAGTAGAATAGCGTTCTGATATGTCTAAACGTTCAGCCTGGTAGAAAAAACAAATATTAAATATACTTTATATATTTATACAAAAAGAATTCAATTAGTTAATTACCTCTTTGAGTTGTATACTTTCTATTAAAGACTTCTCGCTAGCTTTTCGCCTTTCTAATTCCTGTGCTGAACTTTCCAACAGGGCTTCTTGTTCTCGTGCCTTTTCCAACAAATTTTCTCCACCGACCAATATTTTATTCTGCAGACTTGATAGCTTTTCTCTTAACATCGCTTGCTCACTCCTGAAAGCAAAATAATTGGTAATAAAAATGTAATTATAAATAATTAAGATGACAAATAGTTACTTTGTTTGGTTTAGTTCGACCTCATGGGACTTTTTCATGGGGCTATCGTCTTCGTCTTTTTCGTTATCAATTTTTTCATCCTAAAATAATAATAACAGCATTGCATTTGTAATAATCTATACTAAAAAATTTATAATATAATTACCTCCTGTTTATTCCGTCGTTTCTTGTGTCCCCCAAATTCATCCTCAGATCCTTCAGAGCCTTCTTCACTTTCTTCCTCAGAAGCACTAGCTAATTCTAAAAATAACACAAAAAAATTAGAAACACCTTTATATTACAAAGAAATCTTTGTCAAACTAACCATTATCAGGTATATTATCTTTAGTCTCAAGCTGCCGCATAAGTTCCTCAATTTCTTCTTGGAAATGTCTCAAAAGAGCATCTTTTGGTTCTTCGTTGACATGAGCCCTATTCTCAATATTCTTGGCTCGATTGGCATAACGTAAAGTTGATATTGTCTCATCAAAGTTTATATCGGCTGGACCAATATTAGCACACTAAAAAAAAGATATCGACAATAAATATTAATAAACACATCAAAAGTTTATATTTATTCTTTATTTATTCACCATGACTGTCTTTGAGTTTCCACCAAGTGAGTCTTGTAAAAGCCTGGTTAATTTTGAGTTTCTATAGGGGATGTGAGTAGATTTACCATCGACTAGGGCTGATATAACATTTCCAAGAACTGATAGTGATAAATTGATTTTAGTTGCTTCCTTGAGTCTTGTGCCTGATGATAATGTTTTGCTTTGCCTTTCAGAACCCTAAAAAAATAAAAAAAACATTTATTCATGGTGGTAATAATAACCAGAACTATGAACAAGAATAGTTATTTTGCTTACTGCCAAGTCAACAAGATGCAATTTGCCCATTTTAACCCTCTGCTGCCTATCTTCCCCAATTTCACTAGATTCTACTGTTATCGAAAATATAGCATGAGACCTAGAACTCTCAGCATTCATAGCTGTAGCACCTATAGCTCGATTTCTGTTGCCCAATTGCATAATTTTATCCAAATCGTCAGCATTATGCACCACATATCTACAAAAAACATCGACTGAAATACATCTGGTTATTAAATAAAATTTCTTACTCTTACCCTGATAGGTTCTTCACAAAAACACCTATATCAGGTCGTTCCTTGACCTCTAAGCTTTTAGTAGGGTCTCTGCCTAAAAGATCTCGGACTTCCTCATTATAAATTTCTAAGTAGGTGACTCTAACCAGAAATTTGTATCTGTCGTCAGCTTTGGCAATGTGTCCAAAAATATGTGCAAATGTATTCGGTATAATTCCTCGAGATTCGGGGGATGTGGGCAGGCCAGCCATTGTGTAGGTTTTACCAGTCCCTGAGAATAGAAAGAATAATGTAATCAAATTGTTGTTTTCCCCTTTTTCCTTAAATTACAGAAATAGTTTGTTACTTTATATTATTTATTACTATGGTACATATAGAAAAAATTCTATAATTCATTGCTATGAACAGGGCCGGATTTAGAAATTTGGCGCCCAGGGGCACTGACAAAAATGCCGCCCCATCCCTGAAATTTTACGAATTTTCGAACTTTTTTTAAAGCAATCGCGCTGCTTCAGCTGCGTGGGACAAAATATAGAAGCGCGTAAGCGCCGCGTCGCAGTCTAATTGATAAACAATGTTACAGAACTTATATAAATGTAAACAAAATTTATACTTGTTATTATAATATCTTTAAAATATTTTAATTATTTAATATGTTAAAATAATTTAATGTGCATATGTCTTATGAACACTTCTGCCGCCAAATGTTTCTTTTTCTAATTTTTTTATTAGATCATCGAAACCGCTAATCCTGCCCCCCACAAATTTAAGCAGTTATTCATTCTGTAAATTTTTTCGAATGTTATTGGACGCTTTTTTCTCAAAAACTGAATTATTATTTTTGGCATTTTGACCCCTATCTTCAAAACAGTTGGACCTGCCTTGGCCACTAACTAATCAGCACGTCTCCTTATCAATAGGAATTGAATCATAAATCGGTTGATCCGTGTTCTCGAAATCGACTTGAATAATTAAAAAATATTAGATTTGTATTGATGGGGAGACGTGCCGATTAGCTTTTGGTACAGGCAATTACGAAAAATGGTAATTGAGTTTCGATACTTTTTCTCTGAAACAGCTACGCAGCGCGATTGCTTTGCAAAGAGTTCATAGTTTTCGAAAAATTTCGAAATACAAAAAATGTGTTTTAGCCGTTTTTTTTTTCATTTTTTAATAAAATTTAAAGCTCTTTATAAAATGTAATTTTCAGTACGGGATGTTTCAGTAACTTGTCTTAAGGCACAATGCCATGAGTCAATAGTTTTTTTTTCGACGCTATAAGCTTAGAAGTGCACAAATACGTATATTTTAAGAGGGCTGGAGAACTGAAGAACATATTTTTCTTAAACTTTCAGCTTGTTTACGGATCTTTATATTAGAGCCAACCTGCCAAATTTGATAACTTATTAACCAATTTGATAATTTACGTTCGGAGAGGGAGGCAAGGCAAAATAATAATTTTTAGTTAACGTTTATTTCAACCCAAATTTTGCATTGCAATCGTATTATGTTTTGTTAATTAGATTTCTTTAAATAAAAAATGTTGTTAAAAAAGTTGATTATGTCGTATAGAATTTTTTCTCACTATCCAAATTTTGCCGCCCCCGAAAATTTGCCGCCCTGGGCAGTAGCCCCGATTGCCCCTACTGTAAATCCAGCACTGGCTATGAATCAGGAATAGTTACAGATTATTTATTACCCTGATTTATACCTAAAATTTTAATACTGGGTTAAAAATATTTTTTTAAATCTTACCAGTTTGTCCATACGCCAGGATAGTGCCATTGTATCCTTCTAACACCTGTTAAGAACAAATTATTAAAATATAAATATTTAATGCTTATATTACTATTAACTAAAAAACAGAAATATTTTTCAATATTCAAACGCAACAATAAATTTAAAGGACCTGTCAAAACCGCAACGAATATGAAGTTGGTAACTGATGTCACAAATATGCTCAGTTTATTTTTTACTTATTTTAAAAATTAATATGATTATGACACATATAATTTGCTAATAACCTTTTAATTTCAAAATATAATTATATATTTAATTCATAATTACACTATATATGACAATAAAAATATTGTAATTTGTAAAAATTGGCACTACATCTTTTAAATATTTTTCAGTTGTCAGTATGTTTGTTAACACTGAACAACTAAACAAATTGCAATGGCCGCTCAAACTAAATCTTTGATTTAAATATATTAATTATATTATATAAGTCCTTAATACTAAAATAAAAGTCATTTTAAATAAATAAATAACCAGTTTACAACCAAGAAACAAGATTACTCCAAAGAAGAAACAGTTACTGGTAATATTTATCATATGTATCTTGTATATGAATATTTCAAAACGTCAAATAAAATGGCGGATACGAAAGCTATGCCAAATAATAATATTTGATCTTGTAAATCAAAATCAAAATAAAATAAAAGTGATTTTAAACCAATAAACAACCAGTTTGTAACCTGAAAACAAGATTACTTCAAACTTTACAGAAACCGTTACTGGTAAATATATAATATATAAATTTCTAAAAGTCAAACAAAATGGCGGATACAAAATCTGCACTACATAATTATCTTTTATCTAGTAAATAAGTTTATTATCTATTATTACCTTGTCTATTAAAGGTAGAGCAATTTCCACGTACAATTCAGCCTGTTTGGAGTCCTCGTCGAAGACACAATCAAAGGTGAAAGTCTTAGGCTGGACGCCGGCGGAGGCGTTGGGCTTTGTAACGGTCACCGTTTTGGCCAAAGTGTCGACTTTTATGATGTTTTTGCATTTTTGTTCGAGTTCTTTGGCATTTAAGGGCCTCACGCGGACTATGACCCGGACGTTTTCCACTTCGCCGTTGTTTGGCGGCTGCTTTGGCTCCTGAGATAAAGGATAAAGGATACAGGTAAATTAGTATATTTATTTATAAACTTTAATTTTTTTGTTGAGACATTTTCTAGAAATGTTTCTTTGTAGCCTAATAGTACATATGAAAAGCAATAAATAATTAAATTATTTATTTTGTACGTTTCGGCACTGTAGGTGTGTCATCATTCAGCACTTTAACAATTTGAAGTCATTAAAGCAGTAAAGAGTTTTACAATTTTCAAAATCGGTTCAGGATGTTTGGCAAAAACGTTGACGAAAAATTTGGCACTTTTCTGCTAATTTTAAAGAAACGGCTTGGCTGATCGTTGCGCAAAAATAATCTAGGTGAGTCTTTATAGTATATTCATCAAATGGCTTTTAAATTTTTGCAATCGGTTCAGCCGTTTTTGAGAAAATTTTGACTAAAGGTCAAATTTAGGCTCACCTATACGCACATTTTTTTCTAATTTCGGTGTCAAACGATTTAGAATGACTCGGAACGTCAGGAAAACAAAATTAGTCATTAAGGCAGTAAGGAGATTCAAAATTTTTAAAATCGGCTCAGGATGTTTGGCAAAAACGTTGACAAAAAATTTTGCACTTTAATTGTGCCAATTTTAAAAAAACGGCTTGGCTGACCATTATGCGAAAATAATCAAGGTGAGTCTATATAGATATTCATCAATGGCTTTTGAATTTTTAAAATCGGTTTAGCCGTTTTTGAGAAAATTTCGATAAAAAGTCAAATTTTGGCTCATATAAACACACTTTCTTCTAATTTCGGTGTCAAACGATTCAGAATGACTTGGAACATCAAGAAAACAAAATAAGCAAATATAAATTTCTTTGGAAAGGTAATAATATTACAAATGATAATAACTATATTATATTGTGCGAATTAAACTTATAATAATTAACAATCTAATTTACAATTTTTAAATTACATTTTAATTCACATACATACACAATCGATTATGGGGTCGAACGATTCAGAATGACTTGGAACGTCAAGGAAATAAAATTAGCAAGTATAAACTCTTTTAGGAAGTTAATGGTAATAATTATAGTACATATGTATTGTTAATAAATTACCATATAAATTAACAATCTGAATAATAATATTTCAATTAAATTTAGGCCAATTTTTGTCTCACATACACAAACACGACGATGTTGGTGCCAAACGATTCAGAATGACTAGGAACGTCAAGAAAACGAAATTGGCAATTATAAACAAAATATATAAAGTTGTAATAACAACATAAATGATATTATATTATATATTGTTACTTATTAAACATAAAACAATTATGGGGCCAATTCTCGGATAAAATAAAAATGTTATGACAATGCTATATTAAGGATCTACATCCGTATGAGTTAGTAAAAACAAACTGTCAAAAAATAGTGTATTTGCTGTGCGATCAAGCGTTTTACACATAAAATCTAACCTCCAAAACGCAGTTATCCATATAGTTATAGAAAATCATATATTGTGGAGCCAATTTTTGTATAAAATAAAAATGTTATGACAATGCCATATTATGGGTCTATCTTCGTATGAGTTAGTAGTCACAAATTGTCGAAAAGCTATGTAATTGCCGTGCGATCAGGCGTTCTACACATAAAACCTAACCTCCAAAAGGCACAAAAATCAAAAAACTATATTATCATGAGTGCAACTTTCTGTGGATAACAAATGCGTGAAGTTAGTTTTTATGATCGTTTTTACCAACTCATACGAATATAGACCCATAACATAGCATCGTCATAGCATTTATATTTTATCCAAGAATTGGCTTCATTAAACTTAACAACATTTTAATTGAATTTTAACCGTTAGAATAACATTATTGATTTCCGGTAAATCTGATATTGAAAAAACCTTGATGCTTATTATGAAAAAATATTTTAAATAAACAAATCCATACAAACACTCTCTTAAAAATAACCTTAAAAACCCTATACAATTTTTGTTATTAACTACACAATTAGTTATTATTATTATTATTACAACTTACAGGCATTTTGTATTTGTATCCTAAAACATCCAATTACTTTATAACTGTTATTAATTTATTAAAAACATTTTTATCCACAAACTGTCACTGCACAAAACAAATTTACACTAGCATAAAATTATTAATAAAATTTATAAAAAATAAAATTATTATTAAAACCGTTTAAAACTCTTAATATTAAATAAATAAATATTATATATCTATTACAAATTGTGTTTTTGAAGTTTCCATGTCGAAGATGTCATGGCAACTGCGGAATTATTGATTTTTCTACTAGGACGTGGGCCTTACCTAGTTTTGTTTTATTTATTCAATGACGAGGCGTATTTAGTTTCAAATAGAGCTATTAAATGATTAAAAAAGAAATTAATTAGGCAATTCTTCAGTTTACATTATTTTAATTGATGAAATTTAATTTAATTAGAAAATTAATGACGCATTTTTGATAAGGAGAAAACTGATAAGAATGGTAGATGTAGGGATTGCTTGCATATCAGGGGGAAAAGATAAACGGTTATTCATTTTAAAAAACTATTATTTTAAATATTATTATATATATTATTCATTTATTTATTCTATTTCTTTTCTTTAATTCCTTTTATTCTATTTTTTTTTCTTCTGGATTTCAATTTTCAATACCATAACTTTTAACTTATAGATTGTATTGTAGTCTGATTGTTAAAAATAAGCAAAAATAAAAAAAAAATAAAAAAAAGTTTTTAAAAATTTTAAATTATGCCTGGGAAGTTCCAGCAATTTGCCTTAAGGCATAAAGTCATTTACTACTAATTTTATATTTATATCGAAATTACAATATGATTTCTTTTGCAATAAGCACAATAACAGTTTAAATCTAAGTTTTACCAATTATTAAGAAATTAATAATTTATTAGTAAAAAAATGATTATATATTAAATCAATAAAATGTAACTCGAAAATTTAAAATATTTAAATATTCGAATGTTTTCAAATTAAATAATAATGTAATTATTAACTTCCCGAAGGATAGTTATAGCAATGGGCCGAAAATCGAAATTGAAAATTTTCATTTTTCATGTTGCATTTCTTTTAAGGCATACCTCAGAAAACTAATGGATGTGTGTGTGTGTGTTTTGTATGTCCGCATTTTTTCGTCCACGTTTTCGGGCGCACGGATCAACCGATTTGAATGGTTTTAAAAAACATTCGATTCCTATTGATAGGGAGATGTGCTGATTGCTTTTTGGCATAGGCAGGTCCAGCCCTTACGGAGATATGGAGCAAAGAGTGCAGAAAATAGAAATCTAGTTTTTGAGAGAACGGATCATCCGATTTGTATGATCCAAAAAACATTCAATTCGTAATGACAGGGAAAAGTGGTTATTAGTTTTTGGCAAAGGTAGGCCCAGCGGTTTCGGAGATACACTGCTAAATGTTAAAAAAATGACAGTTTTTGAGAGAACTAAGTGTCCGATTTAAATGATTCAAAGAACTTTCTGCTTGTTACAACAAAATAATTGCTTTTGGAAAAAAAAATTTGATTCAATTTTTTTTTTTTCAAAAAATATTTTTGTAATTTTGGATTAAAAATTCAAAAAATTCCCCAGGCTAAGTACAGTCTAAGCGCCACTCTGGTGCAAATATTTACCCAAGTGCGTTTAGACTTTTCCAATTTTGTGAAAACTATTAAAAATGTGAAAATGTGAAAATGCCGCTCTGCCAAGCACAGTATAAGTGAAAATGTCGCACAGAATTATTTGCAAATGCGTTTAGACTGTGACTATGGGAGCACTTTTTCAATTTTGTGTAAATTAGGCACATATTTTTTTTTTTGAAATTGAATTCGAATTGAAATGACGATTGTTAATGTTCTGGAGATAAGTTGATTTATGATTTGCATTTAACTTGCTCAGATATAACAAGATAGCAAAAATAATGAAAGTTACAGTATTTGTAATAATATATTTGAAAACGTTTAAAATTTCTCGAATATTTCATTACGGTACGGGAAGTTCCAGCAATTTGCCTTAAGGCACGATGCCATACACCACTAGTTCTGCAATAAGAATCTACTATTGTAATAATTATCAATAATTTATTATAATTGAATTATTTTCAACTTTTCCGTTAGAATGTTTGTATATACATTTAGGAGTGTTTTACATCGCGAATAAAATGTCTTTTATTGATGGAAGAGAGTAGATTTATTATGAAAGCACGTGGGGCCGTGTGGGGGCCCCCTTGACTGCAACTGGTACCAACTAGTTTCTCGGAAACCTTGAAAAATGAATCAATAATTTTATTTTATATACTTATTATACAATGTCGGTGCCACTGACGAAATAAAAGCATTCGAGATGAGAAATAATAAATGACACACTTTATTTTAATGAAGAAAACATCCAAAATTGGTAATAAAAATTTGATAAATAAGAAGGCGCCTTGTCTACCGCATAAAAATTTTTGAAAATTAGATGTCCTTAGACATTTTTACTATTATTGTAATAACGTCCTTAGTAAAATTTAGTAATATTGTAAAAAAACCTTTATTCAGATTTACAATAAATTATTTGATTTTAAGAATTATTATAATGATTTAAAATATCCAAACAGTTATTATATCGATTTAACTTACTAATAGTATTTCTATGAATGTTATTGTTAACTATTACTTATTAGCAACAACCTATAATAAAAAAAAGAAACTAGTGGTGTACTATAATGCTTTAATTAAGTCTCATATGGAAATTATGATTAATGCAAATTTAAAATAAACAAAATTACTTTCTATATATAAAAGTATATAGTCTAAAGAAGTAATTTTTAAAATTTTAAGTTTTAGTGAAGAAATTTGTATACATTTGTAGTTTTAGTGATGAAATTTTTATAAATAAATATTAAAAAATCGTCATAGGTTATTTCCATATGTAACACCAAAACGACTTCAAAAGCAATGACATCCTTAAAACAAGGTGTAAGTGGCATTTTTTCTTAGGGCAGTTTGCATAAACCTCCCGATAGATATAAATAATCGACCAAATTAATAAGATTGATTTTTTTTTATTTTACATAGCAGAGTTTATAATTTGCTATATAAAAAAAAAACAAAAAATATATATTAATAAGAATTCAGATTCAACAAATTTTAAAGTTGTGACGATGAAATTTTCTATTTACACGGTGTTTGCCTTAGGGGGCGCCCCATTAATCCATTTTTATAATTAAATCACTGTTCATAAGCCTATAATTAATTCGTAAGTTACTTTAGAGTCTAAACTTTAGACCAACCACTTTATTATTATGCAAAGTTTCATTAAAATCGTCAAAAATTCAAGTCAACAAAAATTACAAAGAAACGTCCCGGTCGATCTTTATAAGAAACTAATCTCCAAGATTTTTAACTGATATTTTTCGAACCTTTTGTAAATTTTCAAAATCAGTTCAGAATTGTACCTGCTAATTATATTGAAAAACGACAAAATCCATTAATGTTTACACAGAATTCACTTTTATCAAAAAATTTTGGATTCTCTATAAATGTCGCTGAATATGATAAAAAACACCTTCGAAACGTTTAATTTTTAATTTATGTTATGCAGATTTTTATATATCCCCAAGAGAGGAGGAGGGGTCGAAAAATATTTGAAAATTAATCACGTGATCAATGGACGCCCCTAATTAGGATTAATTTTAATTTTTTTTATTAGACTTGAAATCAGTGTAATTTTATATTAATCTGTTGCAATTATTCTCTCAAAATTGGTATATTTTAGATGTTTAGACACTAAATGAAATTATTAAAAATAGACAATTTTACAAATAATATTTTTGCATAAAATTAATGCAAATCCTGTTTGGATGTTAGTCATCTCTTAATTTATATTCAACGACCAAAACACGGTTTGGCATTTGCGAATATTTATATATTTATAAATAAATAAATAAAAAATAAAAAATTAATATAATGAAATTTTCTTCATTTGATTCATTATCCTAGACTCCGTTATGTTTTGACAAATATTCATTTTCTAGGATAGTTTTCCTTTTCTAAAGCTTATACATATAGTTCACCTATATATTTAAATAATCACCTCTAATTAGAATTAACATACATTTTTTTCTAAATATAATAATGTACCATAAGAATATAATATGTCTCCCAAAGTGCCCCTTCCACTTTACATCCAAGAACATAATTACTAATTCTTTTTATAAAATGCATAAGTACCCTAAATACCTATTATCCACCTTTTCTACCTGTCTCAATTTACCGTTATTCGATAAAATTTCAATCTTAAGCCTCATATTTGTCTTCAATGGCCCCCATTGTGCGGAAAAGAGCACCACGAACCGCGAGCCTCTGTGCCAGCCGATTGCGACTGTCAGTAATAAGAGTCAGTACCGACTCGGCATTCCGCGCGATAACATTCCGTTTAAAAATCGCATTAAGAAAAATAAACATTAGTATAAAATAATATAAATATATCTAAATCGATCACTTAATAGTGTATTGTAAATGTGAGACATTCATAATTGTTTCATTTGGCTGTTTTTTGTGTCTATTTGCACCCCCCGAAATGGACGAGGAATCCGGTTCCGAGTTTCTGGACTTAATTCTTCCGATGCTGAAGGAGTTGAATGTTATTGATACTCCTTCGGATGAGAAGATCGTGCAGTTTTTGCAACCAGATGAATTAGAGGTGATTAGATAAATAATTATATTTAATGAAATAAAAATTCGCCAATTTTGGGAAAAATTCCTTGTTCAATTTTGAATTTTCTTATTTTTTTCTTGTTATAGCTTGCTAATTATTTATAATTTATTTACTGACGTTAAGATAAAATAATTTAATAAAAGACAAATTTAAAATAATCTTTTCGTTCTTTACTTTGGTGATTATTTTACCTACCAAATATCAATTTTGAGAGAGCGCCAGTTTTGAAAAAAAGAATCCCAAAGATATGTGGTTATTTTATGAAAAAAAAATGATTTGCTATCACTAAGATCAAAATACAACAATTTTGAAAAAAAAACATTTTCTTTCTAATTCGATATGATTTTTTACATAATTTTATTTACTTCCCTTAAGGTCAAAATACTTCAATTTTGAGAGATTTTTTTTTCTAATCAGAGATGATTGGAATGAGTTTTATTTACTGTAGCTTAGGTAAAAAAATACACCAAATTTCAAAAAAAACTAGATTTCTAATTAAAGGTGATTATTTAGAAAAATATTTATTGCTGTTAAAATCCAAAATAAACCAATTTTGGAAAAAATCTTTCGAATTAGAGATGATTATTTAAAGAACTTTATTTACTGTAGTTAAGTACTACAAAAATATACTAATTTTTAAAAAAACTATTATTCTAATTAGGGGCTGATTTTTTGAATAATTCGAACATTTTTTTT